CCATATGTGGGGGGGGGGGGTAATATGGTGCTATTCTGAAAGAAATATTAAATATTTAGGTCTTGAGGTATGTCACAGTCCATTTTGAATGGGCAGCTGAATCTGACACAATGCACCTCAATGCACCAAAATGCAATGCTATTGTATAGACCTCATGAATTGTCAGGGGTTGCACTTAAGGTCCTCTATAATTTATAAGTTGACCACCACTGGTTTAGCTACTATGGGTAGGTATAATTTTGCTTCATATTTTTTTTTATGATTTAGACCCATATATGCTTACAAACTACTACGATTCTGCTAATTCAAAAAACAATGCAAGCAAAGCAATAATGTCAAAGTGCAGTAACTCATATTGACCTATCAGAATTCACTTAACTAAAGTCAGCAGTAAAAGATACTTGTAGGTTACTATAAGTACTACAATCTGTAGTTATTTGCACTTTTACTGAATAGGTCAATTTATTTGTCAGGATATCATTTACCATTCTGTTCTCATTTTTCTCATGATATATAGCTTATATTCATTTGATATTTTGGATTTGTGATACTAACATTGATCCTGATTTACTAAAGAAGAGCATCTACACTTTCAAAATTAATTTTCCCTTATCTTAATGATTAAGGCTATGTCCACACCATGTCCAGACCAGATCTGGAGCAGATCCTCAAGCGCAGTGCAGTGCATTTTTGATACATTCCAGTGCAATTTTTGTTTAGCTTGAAATGGGCTTTCAAGTGCAGTCATGTGCGTTCCAGTGTGTTTGCATGCATTTTTTATGCATTTACATGTGCATTTTGGACCAGAGAAAATGAGACAATCAGTATTTCTTTTGTCTGGACCGGAACAGAATGCGCTGGTGTAAACAGAGCCCAGAAATACCGTAAGGATACATTGGGATGCCTTTTTGGTCCAGGAACAAACTGTTTCGGTACTGGACATGATCCGGACATGGTGTGAACAAGAGATCTGCAGAGGGAAAATTCCTTTTGCAAAGAAAAAAAAAATCACATATCTTCGTGAATAGGGAGGAGTTGTGCCGACTTCAATCATCCGAACATGTGTGAGCAAAAATCCTGTTTCTTTTTCTTTATATTTTATTGCCCATGATTGACTATTTAAGATAAGTGAAAATTCACTTTGAAGGGGGGCATGCTGTACTCCTTTAGGAAATTAAGCCCAATATGCTATATTTAAAACACAACAGAAGTGATGTTTTTCAATTTTGTTCAATTATGTTCAGAAAACGTACATGATATGATCCAGGCTGAGGTCGTACAACCATATTCTGGGTTGAGGATCCCTCGTTATCATTTGTGCCAGTATCCTCTAATACCTGTATAAGTGAAAAATACATTAAATCAGCAGTATTATTTACATTTTTAGCTTGTGTTTGCAAATGTACAATGAATATGAGTGTATCGTTTATATTACCCAGCCAGTGGCTTCAAACATTTTCAGGTCCAGAGGATCACCTTGTAAATTTCCATCAACCATGATAAGAGAGTGGCAACTTGTCATTGATCCAAACAGGGGCCCCCAGCAAAGCTCATTCATCTGGTCATGTTTAAGAATGTTCTGGAAACTACAGTCAAAAAAGCACATTTTTCAAAATTCAGATAAGGGAGCAGTGTTGTAAATATATGTAATGCTTTCATTCCATTCTAGCTGATCCTTCTTTTCAGCAGAGATCACATGACCAAACACCTCAGCTTTATTCATCCCCAAAAAATGGTTAACATAGCATTAGATTAACGTATAGTTAATTTTAGTATAGATCCAGTTTAATGACACTTGCTTTTATGTTCCTGATCCAGAGATCTTCTAAATGTTGTCTCCCATTATCTGTGCATCACTTGCCCACTCCTCTGCTTAAGCACTGTGAAATCCTTACTGGGTAAATTCACGGACAGAGAAATCCCATGGGACCCAGCCTTTTTTCTCCTCCACCATAACTCCTTCCCCAGAAAACACTATAAATTGTCTATCCTTCCACACCTCCTGAACGCAGCACGCTGCTGTATTCCAGCGTTGTGGAAATCGTCCCAGGCACCCACGATGTCCATGTGGCTTCACAAAGTTGGAGAGGTGGAGAGAATGGAGGACCTGGTCTGGTCCGGAAGAGGCCAACATGCTAGACACTGCAAGACGTGGTTCTATTGGACTGACTTTACCCAAACGGCCGAATTCACCGCCCTACTACAGAACTCCTCCTGAGGGAGTGAGCGGCAGCCACGCAAACAGCGGACTTTGCCGAGGCTTGACATATGACTCACTGTTGCTCATCCTCCTTCTCCCGCCTTCCTTCTCCCCCTCTCCACTCCCTCTTCCCCACCCCAATTCCCCCTCTTTCCATATCTATATGTATTTATACATATATATATGTTTGTTTGGTTCTTTTTTCCCCTCTCCTCCCTTTCTCTCTCTTGGTACTGGTTCCTGCTTTCCCTTTCTTCTCTGAAATCTGATTCCCTAACCCCCCCCCCCCCCCTTTTTGTGGTATCTCCATGTGGTACCAGATCAACCGACAGTTTACGGAAAAGTAGCAGGTAGTGCCGTTTGGCCTCTCAGGCTCCCCGGGACCTACGCCAATATTTCCACCTATTTCAGGAACACCCTCAATTATACGCTGATCATAAGCTAGCCAACATGCATGCACATGTCTATAGCTACTTTACTTGACTATCGTCAGCCGGGTCCTAAGATAGCCACATAACTGTTGGTTGCATTGTAAGTCCTGATACTGCGGAAGCTCTAGCCACATACCACTATGTTCTGTTTCTGTATCTCTTGATATATTACCTGTATTGTTTGGAAAATGTGAAATAAAGAATTTATAAAAAAAAATACATCTGAAACCATGGCCATGCTGGGGGCATGGCAAAGATGGCAACCTTGGGCAGCAGTAGTGGGCAGTTACATGCAACCTGTTAAAAGCGCAGGCTCAGCATCACTGAGTAAAAGCCTCTCCCTGACCACTGCCTTTGTTGCATAGGCAGGCACAGTGGCCGTCAGCGCTATTCTCACTAATGTAAGGCTGTATCACTGGGCAGGCTCACCCTTTGGGCTTGCCTGTGTGAAGGGCACAGAGGCTGGGCAGGGATGCTCTGTGATTTTATCCGGTTCATCGTTGCTGAGCTGCACAAAAGGAGTGACTGATATGGAAACTCCAGCCTCAATGCCACCCCTACTGTGCCTCCCTGAGTACCATTTGAAGTGGCTGCCTGAATTGGCCTCATTGGTGGCATGGTCATGTTTGAAACTTACCATGTTCCACCAGATGGTATAACACCCATTAAATCAAGTCCATCTTCTGTTAAAGTGCCCGTCTAGATGGATGACAAAAAATGGATTAGAGGTTGTGCTGTTATAACAGGTGTGTGAAGAAAAGACAAAATGCACAGTCATGGTTAATATTTATATTAATGTGAAGTGAGAATTTATGTAGTTAATTTCCTTAAGCATTATTATCATATTACAAGTATAGCTGGTTAACATACTGCCATCTTGTGGGCATTTTGGTTATTGCACCATCTTTTTCTGTGTTCCCTCCCATTGTATGATGTATTTCCCTTTTCTTCCTCACATTGTCTTATGGCATCAAAATGACTACTTGTCTCATGGCCACATGATAAAATGCTTGCATGGGGGGAAACATTACCATGTTTTGACCTACAAATACCGTCTGTTCAATCATCTGCAACATCATGTTGTCTGATGTAACCTGCTGCAATCAATAAAGCTTCATGAATGAAAAGGTATTTGGTGAGTTCAGCTATCTGATAGAGATTGTCCGCCGTGATTGTATCTGTTTATACAGGTCAGGCATAGAGGTCTCAGCAAGGGATAAATAAAAAAAAAACGGTTTGGAGTCAGAATAGAGGTGCTAAAATTAAAAATATTATGTAAAAATGATAACGTCTCTTATTTCTATCTGATTTCTTTTATATTAAAATTTGGTGATAGTTTGATGTTGTAATATTGCTGGAATTATTAAACTTTGCTAAGGGCGATTTTTGTATTTTGTAGGAAACTTTAACCAGAGCTGGTTGAATGATTGAATGGTAATCAGATGCTAGGAAACAATCCACTAGATAAGATAGTTATTTACACATACACACTCTTGTAAGCATTTATAATGGTTCTTGTACTTCCCTTCAAAATATGTGAGAATTAATAAAAAATAACAAAACCTGGGCAATTGAGCATGTTTTGTTGTCAAGTTCATTTGTACCCATCAAGCCATGAAATTACATATAACAAATTGTAGGCATACCAAATAATATGGTAACATTATTAGGGGAAATACATTTTAACTTCCCAAAAATACTGACCATGTATATGCAATATAGAATGGATTATGAATTAGCACAACAGTGGCTGTACAATGGCATGAGTGAATAATAATATGAATTATAATATCCCAATCATCATTGTTTTCCTTCCTGCTCACTGGAGCAAATACATCAAAAATGTGAAATATTGAAAACATTAAAATGAAATAGTAACTGGGCTCCAAATTGATTCATACAATATTAAGTCCAAAAAATGGTTTATTTGAAAGGAACCTTTCAGAATAGAAACATGGGATCTGCCATAGCTGACATTTGTTTTAAGGTGCAGGCTTCGTGTCCTTCATTACTACAGAGGGGGCCACCAACGCAATACAAGTATACAGCCAGAATATTTCTCCTTTAAAGTGTATGTAAAACCTAAACTTCTGTTTAGTATTGGATAAGGTAGGAGCCTGTCAGGATTTTGTGGTTTTTTTGTGCTCTAGGTCCTACTGGGGAGATTTCCCTTCACTTTTTGTCCCAGAGACACAGCAGGGCATAAGAGGTCTCTATAAGCTTTCCAATTGACTTTTTTCCCATCATCTCCTCTTCCAGTGACCACTCTAAAAATCTGAATTTCCCCTTACTTTCTGTAATGGAGACGATGGCCGCAAAGACAAACGGAAAAGGTTACATTCCCCAGCAGAGGCACAGACAGTAATATAAAACTGGCAGGAGTTCTAAGCATTACAAACTCATCCAATACTTAAAAACATTTGACTTTACATTTGACTAAACTTTAACCTCTTGAAGACTGGGATGTTAAACCCCCTTCCTGGCCAGGCCATTTTTCAGTATTCAGCACTTCGGTACTTTGACTGACATTTATTCGGTCATGCAACGCTGTACTGAAATGAATTTTGTATCTCTTTTTTTTTTTTTGAAAGATCGAGATTTCTTTTGGTGGTATTTAATCACCACTGGGGTTTTTATTTTTTACTTTTTTATTTTACTTTTATTTTTGAAGGAAAAAAACACAAAAATGTAGAAAAAAATGGTTTTCCCTAAATTTTGTTATAAAGCATTGCAAATAAATACATATAGGCCAAAATGTATTCTGCTACAGTTCTTTGATCACGTCGGATAAATAGATACCAAACATGTCAAGCCCTGCAATTGCGTGCGCAATACCATACCCAAAATTGCCCACAGGCAACATTTTAAAAGCTCTTACTGCTCATCAATTTAGCGTGAACAGTGATATAGAGCCCTATAATTATTGCTTGCACTCTGACAGTTGCGGTGATATGTAACATGTGTGTTGAAATTGTAATTTTCGCACATGTTTTTGATGGTATGCGCATGTACGTGGGGGAATTTGAAAAAAAAAATTGTGTTTTTTTTATATGTGAGTTTAATTTTTCAAACTTTATTTTTTTTTTTACATTTAACTACATTTCTATCACATAGGGGGCTAACAGGCCCTCTATACTATGACAGGACCTCTTTATGGAAACATCAGGGAATGTCGCCTATATACCACTTAAGAAGCAGATGAAGCACAGATCATGCTACACCAGCTTCTTCTCCGGCTACAAAATCTGGATAAATGACTGAAAGCTGAAGTGATGTAATACACATTGCTTCTGCTTTCAGTGATCAGAGAGGAGATCAGCTGCTGGAAGTGTCAGCTGTGCCCATCTCTTATAAGCACGATCACTCATTTCTACTTACTGCTACAATGGAGATGGCCAGTCCTGCTTATCATGGTTGCTAAATACTACTGGTCGGGTTCCAGTGCTGTTTAACTTTCATCTCCTACCATATTGTTAGATTTCAGGACTCAAAACAATGCAATGGAATTGTTAGTTCACGTTTTGTGCTGTTGATACACCATTTGTAGAGATGAATATTTCATATTTACTTTGTCAAAACAGAACAGGTTAAGCTGGCCACACATGTTTATTCTGTCCGGACTGATGCAGAAGACACTCTTCTTCTTTAGTCGGCTTTGGGCATAAATAATCCCAACTGTCAAAGCTGCTGGAATGATTGGACAAATCGCAGATGTCAAAAGGACAAGGGATTCCACAATAATTCTCCCCACAGAAACCTACGATCAAAGAAACATATTTAGTACCTGTGACATTGAAGACGGTTAAGAAGAAAGGTTCTGAAAGTGCTTATTGGACCTTGCCTTTATTTTATGTCTCACCTTTTGTGTCATATGTACAGTGACATAAATATTTAGGCCTTGGGTGATTTACAGAAGAACACTTTTTTTATACTGGTTGACTATGATGCCCAACAAACACCCATCCAAGACCAGGGAAAATGACTGATTTTAAAATTCCTTATATGCGGACTGGGTTTTTCTAAAGGCTTATTGTAAAGATAATAGTTACACAGCAACCCTGCACCTCCCCAATCAGCAAGGCACTATTAGTTAACTAATATGAAAGGTCCAGCTGGTGAACTGTTGATGATATGTTTGAAGGCATGCGATGGGTGTGCCATGTGTTCTAATGTGCTAGGGTGACATTTAAATAAGAACTCCAGAGAAAGAAATCCTTAACCCTTGAAGTGGGTCTACCCCTTCACTGCAAGGGTTAAGTGCTCATTAATGTTTAGGTAAAAAAAAAAACCGTTATATTCACATAAACCTCCGATCTGGCAGGCTATGACAGCGCTCCCTCCACTTCCTCCGCTGCAGCAATGGAATGTCCCTCAGCGTCCTCACGTCCTATACACTGAATGTAATGACTCGAGGATCCTTAGACCGCTGCAGCAGAGGCCGACCAGCTCCAAGGATCAGGTGAGTACACTTTTATTCAGCCCCCTATAGACAAATAAGCATTTAACACTTGCAGTACAGGGACAACCCCACTGCAAGGGTCAAGACTTTAAAAAAAAAGTTTTTAAAGATTTCTGCTTTAAGTAAATTGAAGATGTGGTTTACATTTATCCAGATTTTCAAAATCCGAATGTTGTGGTACTTGTTGCATATATACTATGGAAGAAGAATTGCACTGAAGTCATTGCAATAAAAAGTGTTTGAAAATCCCTATGCTATGACTTAGTAAAACATATTTGCTACTGTAAACTATAAGAATGTTTGGATCCACCAACTGGATTGTAAATATTCAAAATGTTTGGATAACTAGTTAAAACCAAGTCAGGTTTTTTTTTTATCTTTGGGGGGGAGGCGGGTTGTACTCTGGATCCTATCAGGGAGATTACCCTTCACTTCCTGTCCCAGAGAGACAGCAGGAAGTAACAGGTCTCTTCAAGCAATAAGATATCCCTTCTTAGTTGTCACCAGAATAGATTTTCCAATTACCTATTTTCCCCTCACCTCCTCTTCCTGTGACCACTCTAAAACTTTGGATTTTCCCTTACTTTCTATAATGGAGACAATGGTGCAAGGACAAAAAGAAAGTGTGAAACTCCCCAGCAGGGGCACAGACAAAAAGGTGTGCCATAAAACTGACATTTTTGCAAGAAAAAGTGTTTGAAAAACACTACGCTATGACTTAATAAACATATGTGCTACTGTCAACTAACATGATGTTTGAATCCACCAACCAGATTGTAAATATTCTCAGAAATCCCTAATACATGCCGGGGAGCATTAGGGTTCATTTACTAAACAAGGAAACTGTTCACTTGAAATTGAAAAATGCAGGAAAATTCTTCTTATAAAGCGTTAATACTTGCAATGATCCAGCACAGATTCAATCACAAATGATTGTGTAAACCACCATAAATAGTAGGGGTTCATTGTTTTATCACAATTGATTTTATTCATAAATCACTCTATAATTCCAAAAACATAAATACACATATTTACAGATAATTACAAAATAAATAAAAATATTTTTATAATTACAATTATAAGAAGACAAAAGGTACATAATTAAGAAAGAACTCCAGTTAAAAAATGTCATTAAACATTGCAGCGGGGCTACCCCCACACTGCAAGGGTTAAGTGCTCGTTTTTGCCTAGGGTCAAAAATAAAAAAAGTTATACTCCCCTGATTCTTAGAGCTCGCTTGCTCTTAAGCTGGCCATACACCTTACAATTATCTGCAGATTTTCTGTGGTCAGATGGAAAAGGTGCAACAGATTCCTCCATCTACGCTAAACTGTGTGGATGGAGTAATCTCCACCTGGGCCAATCTATTGCACTTTTTCCATCTGACCACAGAAAATCTGCAGATAATTGTAAGGTGTATGGGCACCTTTAGACTGGTCCTTCCAACCTCATCCCCACGCTGCAGCAGTCCAGGGTCCCTGAGTCGTCGCATTCTATACACAGTGGGGGAATTTTTCAAAGCTGGAGCAGACAGAATATTTTACCCTAGGAAAAAACGAACACTTAACCTTTGCAGTGTGGGGGTAGCACCACTGCAAGGGTTACAATTTTTTTTTACCAGAGTTGTTCTTTACCTTTTAAAAATATTTTTTTTAAAACAGGCAGAAATACGGGCATAATTCAACCAAAGAGAATTGATGGAACATTTCTCTTCTTGTCTGATCAGATGCTTTTTCAATGTTGTTGTAATGTTTATGGCTGGCATAGCAGAAAGTGACAAACACTTGAGAGGCACAAATTAACAGACAAAATTAGCATAGACTGATAGATAATGAAGGACAGACGTCAATAGTAAAAGGCATGCCTTGATAAATTCCCTGGTTAAATTAGCTACAACCATGGTACAGCAAGGTGTGCCCCGTTTGGTAAAGGCAAAGTTATGTCAAATGCAGACTTTGCACTCCATGCAAGGTCCACTTTTTAAAGGAGAACTATGAGGTGAGTGCTTTCCACTCACCTCATAGTTCTAGCCGACCTGTGACAATGAGACTGTCACAGGTCGGCACGGTAGATCGGGAGGTGAGCGAACACATACTGGGCGGATCCCGTCAGCTAAGTCGTGATCCGCTCTGGCTGCGGCGTCTCAGTATACCGCGAGCTGTAGCTCGCGGTATACTGAGCTTAGGGTAACGGGAGGATGCTAGTTTGTGTCCTCCCGTTACCCTAAGGAGAACTATGGGGAAAAACACTGACCCCATAGTTCTCCTTTAAGTGTGTACCCACTCCTCCTTGCTGAAACACCATATGAGACTTTAAAATAATATATTGTACAGGGAAAAATCATCCTGCCAATAGGATCCCAGGGAATGCTGAGAACCCCAAAATTTGTGGGAAGCCACTGCAGGAGAGCGCATGATCGCCTTCCCAGCAAGATCTCAGCTTATCACCATTTCCTGAGATCTTTTACGGTAGGAGCATGATGACAACCTCTACAAACTTTATTTGTGTTTTTATTTTTTTGACGTTTTATGCAGTGTTTTAGCAGTTGGGAGTGCGGCCATTCTTAAAAAAGTGGACCTATGTAGGTGCAAGGTGCACTCTAAAGTCTATGTCCAGCCAAAACTTTAGTTTTTGAAAAGGGTGCAGAAGGATTGGAACCCCTCCAATCTGAGGCTCCACTAGAGAGATTTCAGTTCAAATACTGTGCTGGTGACAATGGTTCTACCAGACAGGAAGTGAAGGAAAATCTGTAATAGAGACACAGACAGAAACAGAAAGCTGACACAGGTTCTAGGCTTCCTCTACTTTAAAGCCTGCTAGTATTTTTTCATTTTCCTACCAAGAATATACAGTATTTGACAATGAAAGCATCAGAGCTTGTGTCAGAGAAGACAATGCTTGTGCTTAATTTTCTTCTTTTAACACCACTTAAGCCAAAAACTAAAATCACATAAAATGGAATACCACTAGCATCAGCATTGTGTCATTGACATCTCTCATATTCTGCTGCAAGACAAAAGTAAATACAGTCATATTGTAGTACCTGTCTCTGTGCAAATATGATGACAGCGTAGACTATGCCAACAACTGCAAGAAATCCCAAAAATATGAAAAACCATTTTACATCTCGGTGCAGTTTGAAGTTTAGAGGTTTGGGATACAGTATAGATCTCACCATGTCACCTTTAGTTGTGTTAAATCCTAGGAGAAAATACAGTTGAGAAAACAGTGTTATTTAACAAAGGACTCAATATTTCAATTCCACCTACAGTATGTATGATATATTTAATATGATCAAAGATCAAAAAATAAAATCCAGAAACATGGGGATTAGTGTGGCAGCATCATTCAAATGGGGTGATTACCATAGGAGAGGAATTGTCCTTCAAAAGAAATTTAACAAAATGATGTACAGTATATGCAAATATCTGTACAATTCCTGCAAAGCGTATGGAATGGAACTCCTGCAGTTGTCGAATGGATCTAATGCCAATGGTCATTAATAAGGAGTAAAATGTTGTAAAAATGTGTTGTGACCACCAACTGAACGAAAGTGGGTCAGAGTTTAGAGAGTACAATGTGATTTTCTTTCTTGTTCTTGGACATTAGTGGGTTAATATGTCATGGAAGCTGTTATCACAAACCATAGCAACACGCATAAATCATCCATATACAGTATCTGGAAGTTTTTTTTGTTTTTTCTAACAAACTGTCAATTAAATATTTGTAAGATGTCAATTATGAGCAATTAGCTCCATTCCCCATTTAGATATTCTGGCAGTACCTATAAAACAGACTCACCGGTCCTTAACACAACAGCTTTGGCTGGTCCTTGTGCAGTGGATTCTGATCTTATAACTTCAGTTCCACAGAACAAGACATGGCGCTTATAATCTTCTCCACTGTACTGCATCCAAGGCATTGTATTATCTACATGTGGCAATTGAGTTTTTGTCACAGGAATGCATTCCCCTGTGGAAATCCAAAAATAAGAGTTAGGCATACAGATGTATTTTTTAAATAGTGATGTACAAATGTGCAATGACCAAGACCAACTAATAAGATTTCATCTTCAATTAGTTGAAAGTTGAACACACAGAGAAATACACAGATTCATTACATATAAGGGAGCCATTTTATCTGACAAAAGACTTGCATTTCTGTCCATCCAGATTTGAGATTTATACAGCTTTGTCTCACCACACAGTCCTATCTAGTAGGACAGGAGACCTTATGTTTGTATGCTTTAGTTCAGTAACACTTACAGGTCTCCTCAGCCCCATCCTGTAAACTGACAGTGAAAGGAAAAGAAGCCTTATAAGCTCATCTCTTTGTCACTCTTTTCTCTCCTCCTATCAGCATGCTTCTTGCACTGCAGCACAACTGATTGGCTCCTTGTGCTGCTTCTGCCTCCCCCACTGAGCGCTCTGATACACAGGGACTGCAAGATTACATAGTCAGGTTGAAAAAAGACATGTCCATCGAGTTCAACCAAGGCTGATAGTAAGTCAATTTAGGTATTTACACTGCTTGCATTTATACAAATACATTTATTAATTTATTGATGAATACAGAGCTGCATTATTTTGTATATTTTATATCTGTACGGGAGCAGAAAGAGGTTGATAGCAAGTCAGTTCATGTATTTAGATTGCTGTATTTTAAAAGATTAATTTAAAGAGGAACTTTACCCATATCTTTGAAATGACAACAAATACACCGTTAGAAATGTTTAGTAATTACAATCTACAAACACATACTTCTAGATAATTCCAAGCTTTGTATTCTTTACATACCTTATTTTTCTTTTCCTCCCCATTCCCACAGTGCCCATTTTTACGAGGGACAGATTAATAGTGATCCCTTTACTTCCTGGAAATCTGACACATGTGACTAGGACATGTGACGATGCACATCATCTCAGGGGAGAAAAATGCCTTTGCCTAAGATCTCGTGAGATTACAGATGAGATTTCCCAGCAATGCTCTGCTGATGTAACCTTCCCAGGATGCAACGCTTGGGCACATTATATCACTAATGCCCAAAAGGACCAGGAGGTGGAAAAAACAATCATTGTAAGCAAAATAAAAATATGTTAATTTAACTATTAGATGTAAGATGATTTCATATCAGCAAGCAGAGCTGCATGCTGAGGTGATTTCTAGTGAGAGGGGGTAAAGGTCCACTTTAAGGAAGTGTGAATAAAAACAAAGCTCCAAAAATGTGTGTCTTATATATCTGCCAGGAGTTCTTTTTTAAAGCAGACAATACAAGTAAAAAGTATTTCTGTATTGGTTGTTAGTATCAAGTACACATTTTTACATTTCTTTTTTCAATAAAATCCCTAAAATTAAAATGCATCTACACCCAAACGCAAAAGTGTAATATATTGCAGCCTATCAATCCTTAAGGCTCCATTCACATATAGCGTTTGCGTTTCCCGGACGGTTTTCTGCGCGGAAGACTGTACGGGACAAAAACGCTAAAATCTGCACAGATGCGCTCGTTTGCGGCTATTAAATAGCCACAAACATGAGGAATCTGCTGTATTATCGCGCTTATACTATTGTTTTTTTCTGTTTAGAGCGGCTCCGCATGTATCCATACAGCTGAATATGCACGGACTGCTACTCCAGTGTGAATGGAGCCTAAATGTGGCGGCTGCATTAGATTTCTTTTGTTAAGCTTTTTCCCCTTTAATTTCATCTGGTGATCCGGCCAGTGGGTCTATTATTTTTCAACTACATTTAACAGACTAAACTGCCAAGGGAAAGTGGCAGATAGAAGGATGAGACAAACCATTGAACACTGTTGGGAGCGTTTACAGTGGTCAGCTGGTTTTTGAGTTAAGATACAGTTTAAATACTGCTTACCATACAAAAGCATCACGCATTCTCATCTCAGAAATTTGGGATGTATGAAAGCCCTATGCTGAGTACTATCAGGGCTAAGATGTCATCACTGGAAACTATCATAGTGTAAATATGGGTTGCAGAAAATATACTGGGATGGAAAACAGCACAATGGTGAGCAAGTATGCGTCTCTTATCAGTGTGTTATTTAAATTAATATGCAGGGTTACCACTTTCAACTACTAGTTTAAAGTATTTTTTGTTTATTTTATTGATTGAGCTGATATTTATTGGCATTCATTACTATAGCTCTGATAGTGTGTATGCCCTATCTGTAACATGGGCGAAGCCAATCAGAAGCACTGTGTTTGTTCTGTAAATAAGATTACTCACCCGTTAACATGCCTTCATTTACAATACATGTCCCATTGATTAAAATGGCATCACAAGACATGAAAAAGTTCTTGCCAGATAGAATAATAATATCTCCTGGTACTAGATTGCGTGATTCTATTTGGTTGTATTCTAAAAAGCAAAAAAATGAACAATAAGCATTGCTTAAGAATGTAATAACATCTATGTGAAGGTTCTTCTTAAATTACAGTACATCATTTGAATTAGTTTACCTATTATAGCTCTGCATTATTAATTTGCAAATGAGCAAACTGCATAAATGCAATCAAGAAAAACATTTTAAACACTAATCATATAAAAATGTTGATATTTCAATTCTAGAATATCTAGTTAAAAATGCAAAAGATATACATCAATAAATAAGAAGAAAATAAGGGATGTTTTATCAATTGATTTCAGCTGTTTCAGAATAAACATAAAACAAGTTTAGTCAGTTTCTTATTTCTTAAGGGGACCTTGTCACCAAGCTTAAAGTGCCACTAAACTCAGGAAGGTTAAACCTTAAAGGATAAGTTCACCCTTTGCAAAAATTAAAGAAATGCATAATTAATATATATAATAATTTGCATTTCTTTAATAGTTGCATTCAAGCCTTGAAAGCATTGCAAATGTGATCACTGGATCACAGCTGCAAACCTCAGGCTTATGCACATTCTCTCCCAGGCAGAGCTCGTATGGAGGTTGAGAGTTTCAGTTAGGAGAGATGTGGGGAAGGACGGCTGGACTTCAAACTGCATTAAATCACCTTATACCACGTCCAGCTGTCCTCACTCTAGGTAGAGCTGTCGATATTCCTGCATCTACCTAAAGGGAGGGAGGGTGGCTGGATGCTGAAACACATTAGATCTTCTAGGCAATATATGCATCCATATTTGGATGGAAATATAGATGCATTTAGAAAAGTTGGCATTATTGGTTTGTCTGCCAAAACATAATAATTCACCCTTTCAGCACACCCCTCAGACCCATTGATTGGTCATGGTATGTCTGTAAACGCTCTCTTCAGAGACCAGAAAAGATGGCTACATTTGAAGCTTGGAAGGCGTTTGTCTTCAGAAAACTGCAAAGTATAATGAGGATACCAATATATCAGATTGGAAGCAAATGCAAGTAAATTGGACACTGCACAAACCAAGACCAGTTGTTGCTTATATTTTTTGTCTGTAATATATTTCCTTGCACCATTTTTCCTTATCTTTCAGTCAAACCATATTTAAAAACCATTCATCTGAATCTCGGAATGCTCTAAACAGAAACTAAAGAACTTAATGCCTCTTTGGAGAAAACTTCCTTATTGTTAACTCTGTTATATTCTTGTCCAGGCGTGGTTGCAAATGATACAGACAATTCTTTAAAGGCCAGAGTTGCAGCAGCAGATGTTGTAAATGGTGCGTATTTCTATTAAAACAGGTGATGTCATCTACCTTGTGTGTGTATACTGTATATGGTTAACTGCAGAGTTAACCTGCCACAGTGACAATCATTTTCATTCTGTTGGTGCTCAGATTGTTATCCCCCAAGCCGGAAAATCCCTGTGCTTGGTAAGATCGAGAGTGCAATCATCGCTGTTACTATTTCTTGTAAACATAATTTATGTAAAGGAGAGGAGACTGTGCTGTTTTTATACCATTTCTGCACCAATGACTGTACTGCTGTTTACCTTATATAATTGCACCATCCTTGTTTAAATTAATTATTCTAAGCTTACCTTCATCTCTTCGACTTACAGTCACCTTCATATTATTATGAGCTTTCACCAAATTGTGTAGCTTTGACGATTGCTGTCAAAATAAACAACAAAAATGTATTTCACTGGTAATCAAAATATTAATACAAATCTGTAAATTTTGCATTCACTTACAACTTACGTGAAAAAATAGAACAATTTCAAATATGGAATATAAGAAATAGAGAGATTATGTGATGAGAACTGCACCTCATATTGTTTTGTGGTTGTATACCCTAAAGACATGAGATCAGGAATTAAGTTTGCCAATCACAATCAAGATGAAAATTATTTTCAAGCCCTAACATTTGCAAGGACGTCAATGGAAGTTTGTACTTGTTTGAATGCATTTAGCATTGAGAGTGCCACACAGCATACAGAGCTGCCATTGGGATTAATACAATCAGTTAATTTTCCCTTAATAAAGAAAATGATCCTCTCATTACATGTCAAGAAAAGAGTTTAATTCATTGTGCAACACTTTACTTGATGCAAGTTCGGATGTAAAATCTTAATGGCCTCACATGCTTTGTAATCATTGTGGTGATGAGCAAATATCATAGATACCTAATAAATATCTTCCCAACCTTAGCTGGAGGCAAGAAATACTCACACCTGGATGAATAGATATTTTAAGAACTATTAGCTAGAGTAAATTAATTTTTACATAACCTTACTTACTTTCGTCTTTTTAACTTTTAAGGTGGAGCTAAAAAGGATTATAGTAATAGGATTAGGAATACATTTTCAGCAAAGGGCACAGAACACGTGTGACTACACCTAAAGAAGAATTAAGTACAATAATTATGGCTCCTTTCATATCATTAAACAGATGATACATATTCTGCCACCTAGACTTTTGAAGGAAACCTGTCATGAGAAAAAAAAGAAGACTGTCATTTCTGATTTCCTTCTAAAAATGTTAGTAATCAGCATGAAAGCCACCAGGCAACTAGCACCTGGCAACTGGCATATTCAGAAAGAAAGGTCCCCCTCACACCAAGTTTTTTTTAAATACAGTTTTAAATGTAATTTTTTAAAATATTATTGCTGGACTGCTTAGAAGACATACATGGGACAATATTTACCTGCCTGAGCTCCATGAGAGATAAAGTAATAGTGCAGAAAGCTAGGAGAAGGATTGCAATGGCATAACCCAGATACCCTTCAGCCAGCCATAGGACCACAGTGAAGAACTGGTACAAATAGAATAAGTTTAAAACCTGTGCAAATAAAAAAGTCAAAGGTGTAAGACCATAAAAAGTAAAAAAACATGGACATTATTATAATAAAAATGAATACCCATGTGGACAAACCTTGTTAATTAATAATTTCCAGAGTGGTGCAACTTCAACTTCAATAGTGTTATGTCCACATACTAATCTCCTACAGACAGCGAGACAGATAATAGCAAGATATTAAAATAATTAATACTAGTTATATATAAATGAATTCCAAAATAGTATAATTTTAGCCACATGATTTTTGAGTAAAGCTGATGTTATCTACTATTTTAGGGAGCAGAAAATGGAAAGGTTTATAGGGGTTGGCTTACAAACCATAGAGAAGCAAACTATTATTGTTTATATCAACCAGTCAGATCTCAGTTTCTATTTTTGTAGCACAGGCAATAAATCTGACAAGGAAAATAACCTTTGCATTCCTAATGTTTCTTTTAATATATTAAATGTTCCAACTATTCAAACATTGCTCACAACTCTCAGATTCAGAACCTCAAAATACGGTACTGTATATGCCACATTTTAATGTGAAATTTATTTTGTACATGAATCCAGTACAGAACATAAAAAACAAATATAACAATCAAATGCAATCCATAAATAAATACAATGCAGAAAACAGAAAAATAATACATTGAACTACTGAGGTATAAGGTTTACAAGAATTTGAATGCAGCAGTTTATTCATCTGCTTTGGTTTCCATCAATAGAACAAACCCTAAACTATGAGAATGACCACAGTGTATGTGATCATATGATTGATTGTTTCCAGGGTCTCTACTCTATAAAGAGAAGGGCAGAAGAAGAAATCCTGATAATGTTTTTTATGATTGGCAAGAACAAATTTCATCCTAACTATTCACTAGTTCTCCAAGTAATGATCAGAAAGTGTCAGATGCTACCTAAAAAGTGACCTTTGTAACTCAGTCCAGCCAAAATTGGTAGATTTTTGTTCTGATTTTGAGTGGTTACAAAGGTCATGTTGGGTGTTTCTGAATGCTGTGGACAAACGCAACTGACGCGTTTAGTTATTCAACCCATAGCTTCATGAGTATGGTACTTTATCAGTTACCTGCTCTTGTTTCACGTAAACCATCCATTATAGACATTTAGCATTGGTCACCTGGACAAGAAGTGAAGGGAGTTCCCTCCACAGACAGAAAGTAATATAAAAAAAATTATAATTTAAGATATACTAGGTGGGTTGATTACTAGGGGGTACCGCATCCCGTTATAATATAAATTTGTCTCTGGCTCATTTAACATATATAAATGCCTCTACGTATCCACATCCAATTGTCAATTTGTACTGTATAGCCATTGAAACACATACGTAGCAAGCCACACACAAGGTGTATTCCAAATTTAATTAAGGTAAAGGCAGTTGAATGGCATTGACTCAATGCATTTCATGGATAGTCTGTATGTTCTGCTTTATCAGGAGTTAGCTGTGGCACTGTTTGAATATATAAAATTGATTTTTAACATCTATACAGAGTGTAAAACATAGATCACAACATAGTATTATAACATTTAATTCTTTGCTGTTTTTGATATCTGACTGGAGGGGATTATTCAGTATTATCCCTATGCTCATTCACAAACCTTTCAGCAGACGTTTGAACATATCTGGCTTCATGATGGTTCTGTTATCATATCAAGTAAGATAATTAACCTATTCAAGGGTGGTCTATGTTTTATACTCTGTATGGATGTTAAATATCCAAAATATATATTTAAATAGAGCCTCAGTGAAGTCCTGATGAAAAGCAACATACTGTACATTCAAGAAACGCGTTGAGTCAGTCCCATCCAACTGCCTTTACAGTACCTCAATGGAATTTGGAAAACACCTTGGAGTGTGGTTTGAAACGTATGTGATTCAACTGGTATACATTACAAATTGACATACAGTATATATGTTAAATGAGCCATTCTCATGACTTTGCACATCACTTGTTTTTGTTCTTTTAAAACGTTGTGCATATAGATAAAATTTGATAAACTGTAATACAGTGTCTACATGTGGATACCTTGAAAGCCCAGCATGAAAGAATGAGAGACAAATTTAGATTTAAAAAAACCAAAAACAAATAGACAGGTGGTGGGGAAAGGGTCCAGTTCCACCATACCTGTATCTGTGCCTGGAACAACACAACTTCATGGCCCAGACTTAACATTCTTTTTAAGCAAACAACTAAATTACTGTTGTCCTGAGTCTAATGGACATAAATATCCTTAAAGCGGACCGTTACCCATATCTCTAAAATAACAACAAACACCCCTTTAGAAATGTTTAGTAATGACAATCTACAAACACATACTTCTAGATAACTGCATGTTTTGTATTCTTTGCATACCTTATTTCTCTTTTCTTCCCCAGTCTTCTGACAGTGGCTTTTTACTAAGGGTGGATTACTAGCTCTCCTTTTACTTCCTGAAAATTGGCACATGTGACTAGACATGTGACCATGCACATCATCTCAGGGGAGGAAAATGCCTTTCACTGAGATGTGATTTTCCTGCAATGCTCTGCTAATGTAACCTTCCCAGGATGCAATGCTTTGGCAAACTAAAGTAATTTCCCCTTTCAAAGCAGGAAGTGAATGCTCTGCAAGTGTAAGTCTTTCAAAATCACAGCATTTTACACCTGACATGTCTATGTTATTATTAATCATCATACATAGAGGGATGCATTTTAAAATTAGATTTTTTAGTGTAAAGGTCCGCTTTAATATAATATATAAAAAAATAGTCAAAAAGTAAAGCATTGCTCACCTGATGTCTTGCTCTTCTTTAATTAGACCAGATCCATACTTTGAATGTAAGCTATAACAGGAATGTTCATCCTCCAAAGTTCTGAAATTCCACAGAGAGTTGCATTGAAATAAATGATATGCATTTACACTTTTATTTTTTTTTACTAGACACTAGAGCTAAAGGAATGGGCATTTTGTACAATTTATGTTGTTTGAGCATCAATAGTGAATAAATCCAAAGATCAGCAAAGTATAAAAAAAATTCTAGCACAGCTCCACCTTTTTTTAGATAGCAAAGCATATCAAATACCTATTTTTCAAGCAGGTTCAGTATAACAACTCTCTTGAGCTTTGAACAAAAGTGGGTTTCATTTGAAATTAGTTGCAGAATCAATGCTAGTCACTGTGCACTTTGTATTTGGGTGAATTAGGTCAGTGGACCAAATAAAGGTTCAACTATTAGCAGCTGAAGTTTAAATTGTCAGAATTCCGCTGACAATAAGCATATGTAGCAGAACCATTGGCCCTGCTGTGGACATAATTATTAGTATATTGAGGTAAAAAATAATAGGGTGTAACGTGTGATAATAGCACGCAAAAAGCAATGCCTGTTCTTAAGCAGGGAGAATTGTATTTTTTTCCCCAAAAAGTGAATGTACCTCTGATTGTCAAGGAATAACATAGGTAAATAGATAATAAGCTAGTTAAACTTAACCACTTGAAGTCCGCGGTGTTAAACCCTCTTCCTGGCCAGGCCATTTTTCAGTATTCAGCGCTGCGGTACTTTGACTGACATTTATTCGTCATGCAACGCTGTACTGAAATAAATTTTATATCATTTTGGGGGGACAGATAGAGCTTTCTTTTGATGGTATTTAGACACCACTGTTTTTTTTTATTTTTTTACTATATTAAGGAAAAATTACCAAAAATTAAAAAAAAAAAAAGTTTCCCCTATATTCAATTATAAAACATGTATGATCTATTATTATCCAATTTTTTGCTAAAATATGGGGTCACGTCAGGTAAAAAGACACCAAACATGTCAAACCTTAAAATTGCACGCGCCTGTAAAACCTCAAAAAACTACAATACCCAAAATTGCCCATAAAAGCTTTTACCGCTCATCAGTTTAGTGTTATCAGTGATTGGTGGCCCTAAAATGATTGCTCTCACTCCAACATTCACGGTGATATGTAACATGTGTAGCGCAATTGTCGTTTTCGCGCGCTGGAGCATTTGAGGCGTATTGACGTTTATATGTGCTTAAACATGGGGGTGGGGGACTTAAAGTGACATTAAACCCTCAGATTTTTTTAACATAAACCAATACTGTAATGTGTGCCTTACTGTAATCCATGGTAGTTTCCCTTCTCTTTGCTGCTCTTCCTTTTAAATCCTCAAGTCTTCTCATGCTGAGGGAGAACTTCCCTTTGCAGCTGAGTGCCTCTTCCTGTAGTGCTGGCTCAGGTTGTAAACCTACACACAGACACCATGTATCCATTTCAGAGACAAGGCAGTCTGCTGCAAAACAGAAGTTCTGCCCAGCATGAGAAGACATGAGGATTTAAAAGGAAGAGCAACAAAGAGAAGAGAAACAACCATGGATTACAGTAAGGCACAGATTACAGTATTGTTTTATGTTAAAATAGCTGAGGGTTTAATGTCACTTTAAAGATTTGTGGGGGTTTTTTTTACTTTTTTTATATGTGACTTTTATTTTTTTGTTACTTTTTTTATTTTTTTTACACTTAATGTTATTGCTATCACACAGGGGATAACAACCCCACTATATAATAGCAAAGGCACACAGATAGGTCCTCTTTATAGAGACATTAGGGGTCTCTAAGAACCCTAATGTCACCTGGGGACCCCAAAAGAAGCTGATGAAGCTTCTTCTCTCTGGATATAGCAGCCAGAGGACTGACAGGTGAGGTGATGAAGTGATGCGATACACATTACTTCCGCATTCACACTACGGAGGGAGATCAGCAAGAAGGAAGATGCTGATCTCTTTCCCATCTGCCTGCTGACACCCTCCCGAGACGCAGATGGGGCAGCGTATCCTGGGATTGAAGGCGAAGGTGCAGGAGGGGGCGGCAGCGGTAGAGCGATGGCGGGACTAGAGGAGGGGGGGTGCACGCAGGCAGCACATACAGGCGATTCCATGTTAAACTGCCGGTAACCGCTGTTTACAATGGACAGGTTTTTTCTGCCCGAGCAGAACAAAAAAGCCTTCTATTTACGGCAACCTGCCAATGTGAGTTTGCCGTCCGTCTGTTTTTTCACAACGGGCTGGGAACATGTATCTTTAAAAAAAAAATATTTGCACTTTACATTGTTTTTACCTGGGTTATTGTTTCTTGGCTTCTTAAGAGTTAACATTTGTACTTGCTTGCCCTTCTTTGTAATGTTAGGAGAGGTTGTGAGTGGTGAGGGGTTTGTAAACCCGGTATGTACTGTGCTGGCTCATGTCCTTATCATTTGTAAATTAGATTTAAACACTTATTTTTCCTAACAAAGTTATTTAAAGCGTGACTTCTGCATTGTATGTTAATGAAATTAATAACACAATCCACAAATTTTAAACATAAGTCTTTCTAAGTCTTAAGTACAGTTCACTGTGAAGGTGCTCAGGAAAATCTGAATTTAGCCATCTTGCCTGCTGCAACAAAACATCATGGGGTGGGGTTTTCTCAAATGTGACTTCCAAAGTGGAAATACACTTTAAAGTAGCTATAATTTAATTTAATAACAGCATATGAAGCAGGTATGGGCAGTAAACCAATCAAAAATTAAAGTGACACTAAACTCAGGAGTTAAATCTTAAAAATGCATTCAAGAGGCTTAACTATTAACACATTTTTGTTCCCCATGGTCCCTGTGTGCCTTGTTAAGTAGCCACCGCTCCAAGCTCGCTCCAGTGATGGACTACAATCTCAATACAAATTAGTAAACTAAACCTGAGTTTGTAGTCCATCATGGGAGCGAGCTTGGAGCAATGACTAATGTAGCCCCCCTCCAGAAGGAAGGACAGTGTCAGCATGAATTCAGAGATGATTTGAGGATCTATAGCTGAGTGATACACAACTAAGTTACATTTTTGTTAATAGTTAAGGTACTTGAATGCATTATTAAGATTTAACGCTTGAGTTTAGTATCACTTTAAGCCTTTCATCACAGCAGTAGCATATTACATACTGATTATTACAACAACTTTAATGAATTTAGTCCTGACTGCACATTGAGTACTATCAGGACCGTCTATATAATGAGGCAGCCTGAGGCGGTTGCCTTGGGTGGCATCTTGATAGGGAGGGGCAACAGTGCCCCAGGTTGTTAAGAGCTGTTAGCAACCTGTGACGCTCTGTGTGGTGGTGCCCAGATCACTGACACAGGGCTGTAGCTACCATGGGGTGAGTGAGGCACTCGCCTTAGGCGCAGCTTATTGGGGTTGCAGCCAGGGCCTTGCCCCCCTTGCCCTGGAGACAAGGCGAGCACAGGGCACCAGGCGGCCAATACAGCCACGGCTCGGCAGGGAGGAGAGGAGCGGCACAGGCTCCAGCTTCTCCTCGTATCCCCGCTGCTCTCCCCTGCCTGTATGGGCAGAGGACTCTGTGTTCTCAATCTCTTTTTCTATTTCTTTCTGTTTAGACCCCTGATATTTCCCTGAAGCCCCCCAACAGTACAAATCAAATATAATAATAATAAAAAATAAGTAATAAAAATACAAAAACACCACACACACACTCACACTCATGCGCACATATTATTAGACATATGCAAAGACTAAAAATGTGTTTCGAACTAAATGAAAGGAAACTAAAAAAGTTTTCATTAGTTTCATCAAACCAAAAATGTTATGCTATTTTGGATTTGGCCCCCAGCACCATCCTGGAGGTGGGGTGCATGTCGTCACATGACACCGTACGTGCGCGGCATCGGGTGGCATAACATGTCTGTTAGCGGGGGGCACAATTTTTTGTTCTTGCCTCGGGCGCAAAAGGAGCTAGCTACGGCTCTGCGCTGACATCAACGGTTGTGTGTCATTCCTCCATCCACACTGAACAGCGTGGAAGGATGAGGCTTGTGCTGTGTCCTTTGTATTTTGACAGTGGTAGGTGTGAGCCACTGAAGAATACTCGAATTGTGTAGAGAAAAGCCCAGAGTACTTTCCACTGTTTAACTGCTCCCCTTGTCCTATAAACAGCTGGTTTTAATGGCAGTCAATATTATTTTTGATCCAGTTCTCTTTTAATTAGTTCAACAATTTGGATCCACATTTGCCAGGGGTCCTGGTCACTTTTCTGATTTAAATCTGAAAAAGGTATTTCAATTTCCCAAAAGAGCACCTGCATGAAAATTAATAGATGGAATAAATAATTCAATAATTTAGATTATCAGACATTTAAACAACTTATGTAGTTATAGCAGACATTAAATGACACATAATATAACAGTGTGTTGGGGGGGTTGGATTAAGACCCCTCCATTCCTGTGTTCGGGTGTGTCAGCTTTGTTAAGAAAAAACAATACTTTTCAGGTGAACTATGTACATAGCAAGAGTGTTATCACACTTCATTGCAGAGTGTTGCCTGATAATGTTCCTTTGAAACAGACACATTATTTTCAACCACTTGCTGCGTCCTGAGTGCTAAATGAGATACTTATTCTGCTACAAGGTTTTTGTACATGCACATCAGATTCAGGATTCATGACATTCTTTATCAGCACACAACAGATATAGATGGAAAGCATAAGAAAGTATCACAGTCATGTCACAATAGCCAGTGTTTCATTATTGAATAGAGCCCCGCTGGCACTGTAGAAAGTGTGCTGGTGAAGAAGAATACTCTTTGCAAGGTTGATAATGCCTGCTATGACACCACTACAGAACTCAACATCTGCAAGTGCAACTGGCATATTATCTTTTAAGATTCAGAAGAAAATCAAATACAGTATGTATTTGTGTTGTTTTACTTACATTTGAGTTGCATTATTTGATTCTATGTTACATTGAGCTACTTCTGAATTATTTTGATCTGCCTTCACATTAACATTGAATTGTATGAGTAAAAAAAAAATAGCTCAGGCAAAACCAAATACATTGCATTGCATAGAGAATAAAACATTTCACACCAATTCAATGCTCAGACACACATGACCAAACGCACAGGTTAGACCTAGAGCAATTGATTAGCACATAGAACATCCCCAGTGTTGATATGGTTATAAGGAAGCAAAAAAGTCAGACGGATGCAGTTGGGCATATAATAGTAACATTTAAAAAAAAATGACAAATTAGCTTTTGTAGAAATTATATTTGTTGTATAATTTTTAACAGAACATTTAACAGAACTGGGAGTCTTTACTGACTGGTAGTCAGCACTTATGCACTGAAAGCAAGTTTTACAAAGTTTCACTTCAATAAAAATTTTAAAGCAAGATATTCTTCAAATATTCTAAAATGTACCCAGTTTTCTGAAATTCCTTTTTGTAAATGTCCCATACATATTGAATCTTCTGTACCCGAATGAATCTTACCTGTAAAGAGATATTTTTATTTTAGTATTAAAATTAATCTCACCTACATGGAAAAGTAACAACAAATATGACCAATCTAATTACAAGAAGGCATAGTGTATGAGTAGGTGTGGTATCCATAGATATTAATTTCTTAATTAATAATATATGTTAATCTTCTAACATGGCATGTCACTTGTTGAGATAGTAAAAAGTCAAGCGCATGTATTGGGTGTAACAGATTTGTAATATATCTTCTGGTAAGTTTATATAGGGCAGAAGCACAGTGATTTACCTCTACAGAAGGTAATAAAACAATCTAGGTTAGGTTTAGCTGGCCATGCACTGTTACATTTCTGAACAAAAAAACACATTCCTCCATCCAACGCTAAACATACAGTGGGGTTTCCTCAAATTTGACTGTGTAAGTGGAAATACACTTTAAAGTAACAATAATTTCATATAAAAACAGCATAGTTCTGGGCAATACACCAATTCAAAATGAATTGACACTAAATCTTAAAAATACATTCAATTCCCTTTAATTATTAACAAAACATACCTTATTTGTGTATCATCTCTGAATTGGTGCTGACACTGTCCTTTCTTCTGGAGGGTGGCTACTTTTGTTCCCAATGGTCCCAATGGTGTGTGCTGTAAAGTAGCCACCACTCCAAGCTCACTCCTGTGATGGACTACAATCTCAATACAAATGAGTAAACTAAGTAAACCTGAGATTGTAGCCCTTCATGGGAGCGGTGGCTACTTTACAGCACACACAGGGACCATGGGGAACAAAAGTAGTCACCCTCCAGAAGGAAGGACAGTGTCAGCACCAATTCAGAGATGATTAGGGGATCTACAACTTAGTGATACACAAATAAGCTAAATGTTTTGTTAATAGTTAATGTACTTGTATGCATTTTTAAGATTTAATGCTTGATTTAGTGTCACTTTAAGTGTTTCATCGCAGCAGTAGCAAATTACATACTGATTATTACAACAACTTCAATGAATTTACCAAGTGTCAAGAGCTGTTAGCAACCTGTGATGCTCTGTGTGGTGCTGTCCAGATCACTGACATCAAAGGTTGTGTGTTACTCCTCCATGCATGAAGCTGGTGTCTTTTGTATTCTGACAGCGTTGGGTGTGAGCCACTGAAGTATACCAGAACTGTGAAGGCAGCTGTTTGCCCACTGATTTTCCATACAGCCCCTTGAATTTTCTGATCAAAGGATGCCGGGCTGAAGGGTGTGGAAAGGGATACCCACTGTGTGAATTTTAGCTGGTTGATCAAGAACTGGACATTTTCAGACAGGTACAGTCAGCTTAAGTAATGTCTAGATTGTACAATATGCACATTCACATTGGGAGAACAGTCCTTTCTGTGCATGTTCATGAGGTCTTTCTTAAATGCATCTGCAATTATAACTTCCCTGTCTATCAGCTGTCAAGAAGAAAGTCATACTGACAAGTGTGAGACAGCTGTGAGTTCATAAACAGTGCAATTCTGCTGCTTTTTTTCTGTCCCAATAGTCATAATGCCCAGTGTCAGTATGATTCTTACAATTGAAATCAAGGAAAGCTACCATGTTGAGAATGCAGCAATTGGACATACTGCTCTCTATATGCTTATCCTGACATACAGGAGGATAGAAGTGAGATGATCGGGGAACTTGAAAATGAAGGAAGGCTAGTTTATAGTGTATTGGTGTTGTTTCCTGTGCATAACATTTAGGGACAGGTTAAGTGCACCTGAAGTACAGCCCAACAGTGGGAAAGGAGTGTAAATTCAGGTGAGCTTACTCTTGAGCTTGACTGATGTAGCAGTTGTCAACAGAACCTAGAAAGGTCCATCCCAGGAAGACTACAGAGGCTTGGCAATGTGCTACTTGACCCTTCTCCACGCTCTGGTACTGAGGCTGTGTTGAGTGTCCTCAGTTTAGTGTCTGGCAATATAGAAAACATATGGGAATGCAGGCTTGCTAGTGTATGATGCAAACATATTGCAAGTTCATTCAAAAGTTTGTTCAAAAAGAGAAAGTTGAGCATCATGAAGCAAACAAAGTTCAATCTTAGGAACTCATCCAAAGAGTAATTTGGAAGGATATAAATTTGCAGGTTTACATAGTGTGTGCCTTATAGATGTTAGTGCCAAACTCAGGGCTTGAGTCTATATTAGCCCTGTCTGCTTACAATCAATTCTAAAGGTGCACATACACATTACAACCCTCGCAAGACTTTTGTCTTGCGAGGGTTGTAAAGTAATTTAAAAAACGTACGATCTGCCCATCTTGGACAGGCAGATCGTACTTGCGATCATCACAAGCCTGCCCCGCTGAGGGGAGGGCTTCCGATGACTGCAATGCTGAACGGGCAGTGTGCAGTTATCTCTCGATCATGCTAAAAACCAGCCGAAAATCGTACGATTCTCAGCTTTTTTCCCAACATGCTCGAAATACAAAAGTCGTGCGACCATACAGTAGAAACGGTCGCACGCCTTCCATACACTGCACAATTATCGTACGGATTTCCCGTGATTCTCGTACGAGAATCGTGCAGTGTATGGGCACCTTAATGCTCAACTTTACAACCTTAACACTTGCTGTAGAGTGGAAAGTGGTGTGGAACAGCAGATGTGTTCCCAAATCTGCCATTATCAGGTGCATTAGCTGGAGCTACAAACTATTTCTGACAACAGTAACCCTGGATGCAATTTTTCTAACTAGCTATGCCTGTATCCATCCACATACAAAAGCATATACTCATACAACTCACAATTACGCAGATGGATAAAATCAATCCATAGCCCCTGAGAAGGGTATAAAGCTTTTAGTAAATGTTTCTCAGGTGCTTTTACAGGTTTCCCAACATTAACCTTTAAACCAGCTCTCTAGTCATCAGAGAATCTAGATGCATCTACTGAAGACGTTAGCTTGGCATAAGCTATTGGTTCACCTGAGAGAGGTGGGAAAGGAGTGCTTGTGATCTAGATGCAGTTATGTGTCTCCCCATCTACATATGTGGTTAGATTATTTTCAAGGCTGGTTAGTTCCATGACAGCTTGAGTTTAAAAATGTGAATATACATTGTGTATATTTTTTATACAATATATACAATTTTTTCCCATTGTTTAGTTTGTTTTAATTGTTACAACTAGAATTCCTGCTAGAAAATAAGTCTGGTGTTTCAGGTTATTATTAAGCAGAGCACTGTGCTGCTTAACTTAAGGGCGTTCTCTGACAGTAAGCATAAGATAGTAAAATGCTTTCCAATAAATGTTGAATAGGAAGGGGGCAAAAGCTGTGAACTTTACAGCAGTTTTGGAATCTTAAGCTGGCCATACACTGTTATTTGCAGGCTGAATGAAAAAATATGAAAATATGAATGAAAAAATATAACAGATTCCTCCATCCAGGCTAAACAACACGGATGGACAATCTCCCACTGTGTTCTTTGTATTCTGACTGCGGCAAGTTCTTACGAGTATTTGAACAGTGACAGCACCTGATTAGCTGCTGCCACTGTTCTTCCAAAGATTTTCTATCTGTCTTCTTTAATTTTCTGTTTGAAGGATGCCGGATGGAAGGGTTCCGACAGCAGCACCCACTGTGCGGATTTCGGCCGGTTCTTGATACATTTTTTGAATGTGTACAATGTACGACCAGCTTTATTTTACAAAATACTACATTTGTCCCTGAGATGGATAAATTGAATGTTGGCTTGTGTCAGTGCATGCAAAAAGGTTGGACTCTACCAGAACCACACTGCATAATATGTTAGCATTTGATAAATAAAAGATAATAATATGCAACCAACTGCATATTCCAGCCAATGATTCTCAGGCTTATTTCATTGTAAACAGTAATAATATAATACTATAATAATATGAAAATATTCTGGGCACTAATCCCTCTACAATGTTGCATTCTTCTGCCAAGTCAATCAAGTTTTTCTTACTGGCACACAAAGAGCCTCTTAGTGCTTTCTCACTCCATGCCAAGATTTCTAGGTCATGTTAGGTTTCAGCCAGGCTAGAGCTCAGTATCCAACCACCTTACACAATTACACTTATCAGAATGTTCAACACTGCCATTGCATTTGTTGTGCTCATATCTTAGAAAAACAAACATAATGTTTACTTTAGGACTAAAGAAAAAAAAAATTCTGCCATGCGTTTATGTTGCCCAGACACCAGATATGAAATAGTAACAAATGCACAATGACTTCTAATCCACCCAGGTCTTTTGAACCCACAAATCAAACACCCCAGACTGGTCATACCTTACCATAAGACACAAATTGTGCATCCTTTAAGTCATAATGTTTTAAACCAAATGTTTTGTTATATTTTGAAACGGTGACCCATCCTAAATTTAAAAAAAAGATACATACAGCTGTGCTTAATCCACTAATATGAGCATGTAATTAAACGATCATACTACGACTCACTTTAAGATCTGGTCTTCTTATAGCTCTATTTACTGTGGAGTTTTCATCAGACATGACAGAACATGGCGACCGACTCAGTGAATCTTTAAATTCATCTAAAATGATCCAGCGCACTTTCTTCCTAGTGTATTTCTTCCTTTCATCCTAGATAAAATGGTGGAAATTGAGCTGTGGTGAAATGTCTGGCAACAGACCTCGCTACAACAGAAACCAGTGAGAATATATCTTGTCGGTTAATTGAAACAACATTTTGCAGAGTGAAGACTTGTAATGGATTGCAGTTCTATATAACACATTGTACTGCTAGATGTGAAAATGGGAAAAAAAAGTACTTACAGTTGTCCTAAGTAAAATAACATTGGCTTTCTCCAACGAGGATGGGACACAGTTTGCCCACACGCTCCACTCCGGTTTCCAATAAAAGAGCAGCAGAAGAATCCCTCCTGATACACAGTAACCAATCACACACAGGACAATCCAGGGGATGCTCACTCTATAGCCAAATATTTCCTAAAGTTGAAGCACAGTACACATAAATATTTAATCCATAGTACAAAAAAACATAACAAAAACAGTAATATGTAACTGTGTCAAACAGCATCTACATACAATTTATACATTAACATTTTTTTTAAAAGTGTAACATTTCCCTTGCTTGTTGAAGCTGCCAGGTAGTGGTAAGAAAAGAGAAGGTTGCTTAGAGTCTAAGAGAGGCCAACAGGGGAGTAAAGTGAACTTATACTTCATTTTAAACTTACCAAATGAAAGTCTCACATCAGATGAAACTCATACCCATTGTAAATGGATCTCAAATACAAGGTAAATGTACTTGCTGTATTTGACTGTCTACCCAAGTCTTAATTTCACTGTGTCACCTGACTTCATAGCTACGTCTGCCCAGCTGCCATTCCCCTGTCCAAAGTAAATGTCTTTAGGTCCCACACTTTCTATGTGCATGAACGCATGCAAAATTGCGCAATTTTTTGCACACTTATGAAAAGATTGAAAACCACGTGCTATTTATTGTTAATGGGACCCCAAGCATGACAAGCAAGCAAAAATGTGCATCAAATGTGCAAAAACACACAGTAGAAAATTGTGCAAAGCTTGTGGCTTAAACAGCTATGTTTTTTGCACATATAACAGCCCACAGAAATTAATGAGCTGCCCAATGCAGGCGCACAAGAAACATGCAATAATGGGTGCCCATGCGTAGCAAGTGTGAATGGAGCCTTATGATCCTGCACATAGCCACTTGAAGCTGGTTGATGAAGGTCAACTGCAGATCAGAAGTAAGTCAACTGCAAGTAAGAAGGAGGTAGTCTGCAGTTCAGATAGAGATCAACTGTAAGTGAGAAACAAGTCAACTGCAGTTCAGAAGAAGATCAACTGTAGGTTAAATATAACTGTGAGGGAACTCAGATGGACCTCAGAAGCATCTTAAACTGATCTCAAAAGCAAGGAATCTGTGTGTGTGTGTGTGTGTGTGTGTGTGTGTGTGTGTGTGTTTTTTTTGTTTTTGTATAAATGTGTGTGTGTGTGTGTGTGTGTGTGTTGTATTTGTCCATCTACAAAAGTCCAAACAAAGAAAATATCAGACATCTTGTGATCATAGGCATGACTTCTACTTTTAAAAGTAACAAGAGGTTCACTTTAAAATAAGAAGTCTGTCAAATGCTGACAGTGCATATCAATGATTTATATATAAAGTATATTTTATGGGCATGGTGCGTTTTAACTGCGAAGGGTGTAATTAAGTAACCTTGATTCTAAATTAATTGACATGTTTACACCTACTGTGTCATCTGCTGGCAAACGTATTATGCCAATTAGCCAGATGAGCAGATATAAACAAGAAGGGTTTAACCTCTTACTGCCAGATCTTGCAGGTCCTTTAAGGGGTTCTGAACCTCAGGGGTCAAGGGTTCACAGATGGGCTTCCCAATCAAATATACTTATCACTGTGATTGGCTGTCACAGGGTCACATGATCGAGAGCCCATCCCACACTTCCAATGCAGTAGAGGTGTAAGACACTGTGGGGTTGATTTACTAACCTTATACACACACCACGAACATGTATACACCTCTGTAGTGTGTTCCCTCCCAGCATGATCTATGGGTGGAATCTAAACATCCTTTGTAGTGTGTACACACCCAGCAGGTGTGTTGTGCAAAGCCCTGCATGAACTTGCAAGGTGATGTTGTGTAAATTAGCTCTATGTTGTGTTGCTTGCGTTGATGAATGCAGGAATGTAAATGCATGAGCTAACCATTTTTGTCTAAACTGTGAAGCAGCATTATATATGCATCATGTGCATGATTTTTCCATATATGGCATTAGTGGAAATATGCTTTTAGAAACTTTTTGGTTGATAAATACGTTTTGCTGTGTAAAAATCACACGCACCTAGTGCGTGCGTGTGTTTAGGTTAGTAAATCACCCCCTGTGAGTGAGTGTTTGTTCACACAAGCCTGCATATTAAAACAAGTTGTTTAAGTGTGCGGACTGGTGCCCATGGTGTATGGGTGCTGGGGGGCGATTCCTTGCTTTGGTAAAATGCAAGCAACTGTTTACTTTTTTTATTTGATTTTACTTTATTGAAATGTCACAAAATTAAATTTCATTAATTTCTATCCATTGCAGCAGAGCTGTGGCATGGTGACAGACAATTCCTTCAAGAGAGCTGCGGTGTGGTGCAGAAAAATACAGCACGCAACTATAATTTTATTGCATCCCATTTTAGGTGGCATTGTAGAGTGAACAGGGCAAATATGGCAAATAGGAAAACAGGGCAAATACGAAACAAATAGGCAAACTGGGCAAATAGGAAACAATTGCTTTCTGTGTGCCCTGGCGTTAGGCCTGTATTGATCTGTGCAGATCAACGTAGCTGAACTTAACTGGTGTGAATGAGTTGAATAGTGAGACATGAGACCCTGTGCATAGCAAAAATTAATTAGAACATGCATGCAGTAGAGCTGTGAGACACTGCATGTAATAGAGAGGCGTGAGATGCTGGCTGCAAGAGAGGCATGAGGCATTGTATATAGAACAAAGGTGTGAGACACCCCATGTAGCAGAAACGTATAAGGTACTGTGTATGTGTTTCATCTTTGTGCCTGTATACTTTGGACCTATGGCTGCCAGTACCTGCCTTGATCCTCTATCGGTTCTGACCCATCCTTGCCTCATTTACTTTTTGGTACCCTGTATTCTTGCCTGATCTTGCTCCAACTTGCTCCCCTGATTTTCCTTTCCTCTTATTTTGCCATTGGCCATAGCTTAGTTAGGTTTTCATTTTGCACGCGTGGTTTCCGTATTTGTATATAGGGTGTTGCTGTGTATGTTTTATATCACTTATAGCACTGCATGCAGTAAAGAGGCATGAGACACTATGGCATAGAGAGGTATAGGGAACTGTAAAAACTATCAAGCTGTGAGACACTAAGAATAACAAAAAGGCATAACTCACTTCCTGTAATTGCTGGATATCAGTGACCTCACCTAATTTTCTATGTGTGCACACTCTCCACTAGTCCTTTTACTGTGTGTTGGAAGTCAGCAACCTAACAATCAGGTTTGGACCGAACCTGGTCTAAACTGGAGCTCCTCCAAAGCCAGAAGGGAGATGGGGCCACACACCCAAATAGCTGTGGACCAGGCATTCTCCACTCTGCAGCTGCAGAGCTTGCTTCTAGTTTTCGGGGGAGCTTATATGCGGACCTGGTTCAGTCTAAACTTGAGCTGATCCCTACTTAAGATCACTTGCTTTGTATGCAGTTCATTAACTGTTTGTACAGGAAAGTTATGACATCTGGAGGTGCAGGTACCATGAAAGGTTCAGCAGAGATGTCTGATCTACAGATAAAAAATAAATGTATATATTGCTCTGGGATTATCTATATTAAGCTTATGTACACTAATAGTTCACTGAGTAAGCAAGCTCTAATAGTTCACTGAGTGAGCAAGCTCACAACATTATCCGGACCAGATCTGGTCCAGAAAATGGTGTGAACCTGAACGCAGTTACAGTGCATTCCAGACCATACAAAATGAGACATGCAGTATTTTTCTGGTCTGGAATGGACTGCACTCAGGGCGGGATTTCACACAAGGCCAACCAAGGCCCGGCCTGGGGGCAGCAGAGAGTACAGGGGCAGCAGGGGTGTGGAATTCCTATCTCCCGATGCCCAGGACATGCAGTTCCAGGTGCCGGGCGGGTAGTTTTTTCTATATTTAGCCCTGCTTTGTGCTTGCAGAGCTAAATGTACAGGGAAGTTGCCGCTTGTTTTGTACAAGTGATCTTGGCGATGTCACCGAGATCACTTACAGGTGAAACTCGAAAAATTAGAATATCGTGCAAAAGTTCATTTATTTCACTAATGCAACTTAAAAGGTGAAACTAATATATGAGAGAGACTCATTACATGCAAAGCAACATAGTTCAAGCCCTGATTTGTCATAATTGTGATGATGATGGCTTACAGCTCATGAAAACCCAGATCCACAATCTCAGAAATGTTTTGGCAGTGTGGGCAGGTGCCAAGTCCTGCTGGAAAATGAAGTCAGCATCCCCATAGAGCTCGTCTGCGGAAGAAAGCATGAAGTGCTCCAAAATCTCCTGGTAGACGGCTAAGTTGCATTAGTGAAATAAATGAACTTTTGCACGATATTCTAATTTTTCGAGTTTCACCTGTATATGCAGCCTGCAGGTCTGCCATTCTCTATGGGGGTGGGGTTGGCGGGAAGGGGGCGCATTGAGGAACCTGGCCTTGGGGCAGCGCAGACAGTAAATCCGGCCCTGACTGCGCTGGTGTGAACAGAGGCCAGAAATAGCAAAGGGATACAGCAAGATGCATGGGTCTGCAAACAATCTGGTCTTTTCTGGAGATGATCTGGATGTGGTGTGAATGGGCTCTAAAGCTAACCATACACCGGAAGAATTTGATTTGAAAATTTTAATTTTCTAAAGTTTTGTTCGATCGTCTAATGGTTAGTGGAGTTAAATTAATGTTTGTCTAGCAGGTAGCAGTATAGAAGTAGCAGGATAGATATGTTCTTCTTGTTTCTTATCTGAATGAACGGAATTCTAACCATGAATGCAATTTCCATTCCATTCCAAAAAAAATTGTAAATATTGTAATGCACAGTTTTCAGGCAACACTTCATCCAGAACATTAACATTCCTTCTTTTAAATGATTATGTAAGTTATTGGTAAATATGAAAGGACAATACAAAATAAGCTTTCTGTAAAACACATGCAAATCTATAAGTAGATTCTAGTATATTTTAATATATGTAGTATGTCCCGCACCACCTCATGGGTTGCTGAACATATAATGAAGGGAATTTATAAAAACTGGAGCAGACAAAATCTGGAGCAGGTGTGCATGGCAACCAATCAGCTTCCCTCTTTCATTTTCAAATCTTAATTGAACAAACAGAAGAGAGAAGCTGATTGGTTGCCATGCACAGCTGCTCCAGATTTTCTCTGATCCAGTTTTGATAAATTCTCCCCAAGGTATATATAAATATACTTCTAAATATGTATTATACTGTTTAATGTAAGTAAACATTGCTTTGCATTATTGTTTCACTCAGTTTATAAGCATATCAAAGAAATCAGTTTAAAAGGCCTGGGATTCCATTCTCATAGTATTACATTTTTAAGGGCTTTCAAGCTAAATTAGCTTACTAAGTGATGGTAAGATTAAATGCTCTGTTGAACAAGTTTTCAGGATTTTGAACCAAAGTTTGAACATTCTTCTATATATGGCCTGATTAAGAGATGCCTGATTTGGCTATTTTGATCTGTAGAATCGCTGTGGCAATGACTCAAATAATCTGATTTAGTGGAATAAAACTCATCTACCCTGAAAATGTTTTAAATGTTTATAAAAGATCATACACATTTGCATCATAGCCAGTTTGGATGCCTGGGCCACCAAACGGATTATCTTGAGAACAGGTTATACACTATGTAAGGTCAATAAGAAGCTTTTGTGCATTGTCCTTTTTATTATGTATGGGATTCTTAATTCTTTATATGTAAATGTGAAAAGGAAGTACTGCGGTAATTATAGCGTTTCAGGTCCAAGAATTGTTCTGACTACGTCAGTCGGGAGCCACCACCCTTTGATAGACATGTCCTTCAAGTTTATGATCTTTGACTTTACCACAAGTGCTCTGCTCTACTATGTACTGTATGCTTTATTTGGATTTGCCTTGGCCTTCTTGTAATGCAGTGCAAAGATTCTTACAGTTCGGTGCAAGAGTTCTGTTTTTTTGTTAGGTGGTTGCCAATAATGTAGTTTATTTTTGGTTCATGTGATAACATTTTAGTTTGGGAAGAATACTCTCTGCAATGATGGAGTCCTTTCTGGTTCATAACACTCTTTGCTCAGCAGTTTCAGGGAAAGCAGAGACAAAAGTATGGTCAATAATTGCTTTTGTTTTCTTTTTCTTTTTTTTTTTCAGTGGTGTGTAAAATACTGGTCTGCAGACCACAGAGATAAACTGTTGTATTAACTGAAGTCATTTGTTGTAATGCAATGTTATATACACAGCAACAAGGCTCAAACACATTAGATAAAATAATTATATTGTTCATATTAGTAATAGCCTATTGTGCTGGTACAATTTGTGGTAAAGTCATCTCATCAGCAAAATAAGGAAAATGACTGTCAAACCTATATTTTTGTGCCCTTACTGATGACACTTTTAATATTTAAGGAGGTTATAGGACAGGAATTTTCCACCCCATTGACATCATAGGCATAATATGGAAGTAGTAGATTTTGTTATAAGGTGCTATCCTCATTACAGTAGTATAGGACTTTATGTAGTAGAGAAGCCCATATCCCAACTTACATTGAGCCAAGCAGGACCATTGTAAGTATGCATAAAAGATAATCCCTGGAATTTCACTTTAACAGTGGAGATGTTCCATTTTATCTACAATGCTAATTTATATGAGTTTACATGGAATGCACCGTGGTTTTGTATATGTTTTCTTGCTTTATTTAGGGCTTGTGTACACAGGTAATGCTGGTAAAGGTGTCGTTTGCATTTAAACTCAGTGGTGCTTAAATACATGCATTCACATGCATAGAACAGGCTGTGTTTGGCCTGCTTCCCTTCAACGTAAAAACATCTCAGTAGAATATGTTGCATCCATTTCCTTCTAGAGCCCAAGCACCCCACCTCACACTGACTTACCTCCTAAGCATCACACGGTACCACATGCAATCATTACATGTTTTATAATATAGAATAAACTACTTTCTTATTAATAGGACAGTCTATAATATTTAAACACTATCATTATGGATTTGTGCTCCCATATTATAAGAAAAAAACATTTATATATTTTATGCATATGTTTTTCTTAGAGATGCACCGATACCGTTTTTTCGATATCGAGTACAAGTACCGATCTTTTTTTTCGGTACTCGCCGATACAAAGTACAGATACCGCTGCCATGTTCCCCCGAATATCAGGAAGCCGGGCAGCGGATCATGACTTGCTGTCTGGTTTCCTGATTGCCTGGGAAGCCGATGTTCTATCGAAAGAACACCAGCTTCACTTGCCGAGGCTGCCTGGCTTCCTGACCAATCAAGAAGCCGGGTGGCGGGTCATGAGGTGCCGTCCGGCTTCCTGATTGGTTAGGAAGCCAGGCAACCTAGTAACATGTGAAGCCTATCAGAGAGGCGGGAAGCGGGTCAGTACCCACGCCCGGCTCCATGCTCCCTCGGCGCTGTCTGTCAGAGGGGGATCCCCCTCTGGTGCTAGCAAAAAGCTGAGGGTGTCGGGAAGAAGGAGGGGTGTTTTGACCTGTGTAGGCGAAATACTTGCAACGGCCCTGGGCCCATCTCCTGGACGTCCGCCTTGCTCTACCATCACTTATGATCACAGTTCAATTTAAATTTTTTAATGATGGGTGTAAGTGGGGCCTCACATTTGAGTCTCGCCTAAGGCCTCACGAAGTCTAGAGCCGCCTCTGCCCCGAGTAACATGAGCAATTTGAAGAGCATTTCCAATGCTTGTCAGTCAGATTTCCATGCTATTCTATTGAACGACGTGTGGCTGCTCAATGCCCAAAAAAGTACAGGAGCTTCTTTGGGGTATGATCACGTGTTAATGTCCCCAATAGACTTCAATGAGAGTGCTGGAAAACATGCACCTCCTTCTCCTAGTAACCAGCTGTCCATTGACTAAAACCAAAAATGCTCAATCCTGAAAGTACATTAAAAAGGCAACTGTACGCTCAAAGAAAAAAAAAAAAGACTGAAAATTCCAACGCTTAAAAAGAAACCCCAGTAATTTCATTCATAAGACTTGCAGTGGGTCTACCCCCCACACTGCAAGAATTAACTGCTTGTTTTGGTCTAGGGGCTGGAACATAGAAGATAAAATCACCCAATCCTTGGTCCTGCTGTGGTCAACGCTCAAGCAGATAACCCTTGAAGCGTGGTGTAGGCCCACTGCAAGGGTAAAGTAGTATGAAACTCTCAATCTTTTTTTCAATCAACCTAAAATACCTTGCCCAGCAAAGCATTTCCTTAAGTTTTTTTTTCTTAAGTTTTTGCCCAAGCACTTACAATCATCATGTTTCAATACAGCTGGCTCCAACTCTCACATCTCCACTTCCCTGAACTTCCTGTCCAGTACAAGATCACAAGGGACTGCACCGTCTCCAGCAGCTTCCATATATTATCTAGGAGAAGGGAGGATAGGGGGGCAGGGGGGAGCATGAGAGTGGCTTTCCTTGCTGTGTCTGTGTGATTGTGCAGACACACACAGCTTAGTAGAACACATAAGGGTGACTCCATAGGACCCTGCAAAGGAAAGGAGCCACCCTAAAACAGGATATCAGGGCCAGTGATCAGGGGACCAGCTGATTCTGCAGGAAGCTAAAACATTTGAACATCAAGGAGCAGCATCCATTATCAGTTATTTAATAATGAAATTTAATTAATTTATCAGCATTTAAAATATTTTTAAAAACCTTTTGACTTTAATATCACTTTAATTCTTGTAATTCCTGGAGTTCCGTTTTTAGAGTGAATGGGCGCTAAGATATATACCCATAATTACCATTTGTTCAGTAAGCACTGGTCTGGTAACCTATTCCACCTTTAAAAATTAAGGAAGAGGCAGACATCAACAACAGCTACCATATGACCCAGTGCTGTTCTTTTTGTCATTAATAGGCACAGTGAGGCAAAAATGACTACAACCCCTATTAGGTATAAGAAGTCAGCAGATGCCAATTTAAATGATCTAAATAATTTCTTGACTGGCTGTACCCAGGGCAGAGGTAGAGATTCTTTTCTATTAACATAAATCAAACATTCTTTATTTCTTCTCATCTTGCAATAACTTCCAATTTTTCATTTGCATTATTTGGGCAATTAATATTGCAACACTAATGGCACTACTTATGCCTATTATTAGATCACTGGGGTATAAGCTAGTCCACATTTACAGACATTTATACCTATAACTCGAACATGTGCTCTTATCTTTTAGTCAGCCTTATGTAATGGAATGGTTGTCATGTAATGCTTATGTAATGGTTGACAGGAAGGAATGCATTGATATATTTGAACAACCATATGTTTGGGCAATATACCATCTAATTTCTTAATAAAAGGCATATATTACATTATATAAGGGAAAGTGCACCTGTAGAAGTCCAATCAGAATTCATCTTTCATTATTAAAACTTTTTAAAACTGTTTGAAGTAATTCTTATAATTTATCACAGTTTTGTATTTATCGTAAGATTTATAAATTAAAAGTGCTAATAATCAGAAATGTTACCTCATAATTCTGATGATGGCATTTCATTTTCTTCAAATTAGTCCCCTTTCAAATGTTATTTGACAATAATACAGGTGAAACTTGAATAATTAGAATATCGTGCAAAGTTCATTTATTTCACTAATGCAACTTAAAAGGTGAAACTAATATATGAGAGAGACTCATTACATGCAAAGCAAGATAGTTCAAGCCTTGATTTGTCCTAATTGTGATGATTATGGCTTACAGCTCATGAAAACCCCAAGAACCCCAAATCCACAACCTCAAAAAAGTAGATTATTACATGCAATCAATAAAACAAGGATTGTACATAGAACAATATCGGACCTCTGAAAAGTACAAGCATGCATATGTACTCAGTACTTGGTTTGGGCCCCTTTTGCAACACTTACTGCAATTACTTTTGCATGATATTCTAATTATTCGAGTTTCACCTGTATATCCTCATGCATTAAAATGTCAACAGATAAGGTGGCAAATAAACTCACCATCTCATTTTCTTCCCCCTCATTAATAATTGCACGGTGGTCTTGGGGTAATTTTGACCTCATCTTTCCGGATAGATGTTGCCTCAAACAATGAAAGTCCAGACAGTGACAGGGATTTACATTCCTATTTATAACCTCATCCAGTACCTCTATTTTTCTTTATCTTCTTATGTATTGTGCACACCTCTTTAATTAAATCTAAGGAATGCCTTACTTCAGATCTATTGCAGGAGTGTAGATTGCAAAATTGACTTTCGTCACCTAGGTGTTTATTTTACAGCTAATGCCAGGGATGTAGCTACCCAACCATTGGAGCACACATTTTAGATATGTACATAGCACAAGGACAATACCCAAAGTATGTACGTCTGTACTCCCAAACTGTGCACATGACTCACTAACATGCCAAATAGAAAATACAGGCAGTGCACATCATTCTGTGGGTTTAATATTGCGTGTGTGAGGGTCAACTTTGTCATGGTGAAAACCACAGGCAATGAGCTTCTATTATACCTGTAGTTGTGTCTTTGTTTTACAAAACGCTGGCTGCACAGAAAAAATATGATAAATGTGTGTGGCTTTTGATATAGGTTTTATGAAAACATATTTATAATAGACTTTTGAAAGGATTTTATATGTATATACACACACACATCATCCATTTTCTGATATTTACATCTGGATATGTACACTGTTTGATTACAATAAGATAGAACAACATCAATTCAGTTTTGTGACAGTTCAATTCAGTACATTGCATTTTCCTGGCTTCCTGGGTGTCTGCCTAAATCCTTGGGGAAAAAAAACCTACTAGCTGTTTTGTTTCTGTATGAAATCTGTAAATGTAGGTTTGGTTTGGACGGCAGCTGGGGTGCGGTAAAATCACATGGTTGACCCACCGTTTTACTGCACCGGTAAGATAAAAATGTCTGTTGGGTTTTTACTGCTATAATTAGCCTCACTTCCTATCTTGCTCACACTGGTTTCAGGAGACAGACAGTGAGGGAAAACCTGCTATAGGGTCTCAGAGGTCAATTCACTAAACGTTATTTTATTAAAAAATTTCATGTGGTATTTCGCTCTTAGTGAATTGAGCCCATATAATGTAATGAAAATCTGAGAGGGGCTCTAGCCTTCCCCTTCTTTAATAAATAAAAGCATTTATATTTCTTCTCTTTTGCTTTTGGAGACTTAGGGGTTGATTTACTAAGCACATAAACACGCCATGAACACGCCATGCAAAAACACGCCGACTGTGCGCGCATGCGCGCATATACGCTTGGCGCAGAAGCGTATGCAGAAGCGTGATTTATGGCGTGTTTATGTGCAGATGCTTGATAAATAGCACAAACACGCACGCATGGCGTATTACATTTCCAAGGATTCAATGGGGATGTGCAACAACCATGAGCATAATTCCCTGAGGGAAGCCCAGTGGCTCAGGGGTTAGAGCTACTGCCCCACAGCACCCATGTCCCCGGTTCAAATCCTGCATCAAGTGAGTTGCATTTATCCACATACAGCAATGCAAATATCCACCCAAAAATCAAAACTGTTGAATCTACACACCCAAAAACCTCACTTCCTAAATATTAAACAATAAAAATCCCCGAAAGCAGGAAGCAGACTGTTGAGGGTATAAATGTGCCAGTCTGGCAGGGACCATGTACCATCTCATCATTGATTTATAAGTGATTTCCATAGAAGTAATATTGATAGTAGATGTATCTGGTTTTATCTTTTATTCTCTGTCATACATTAGGGAAAAAAAACAAAAAAAAAGAATCAAATTCCTTTGAGAAACAGCTCAAGTTATCTTTAAGCCAGCATGGTTGATGTGGTAGTTTCACTGATCACATTTCCAGGAATTGGACACTAGAACCTTTATAAACTAGATAGAAATTACATTTGTACTTAATCTTTCCTGTTATATGTATTTTTCATTTACATTTGAATTAACTTACATTTAAAAGAGATCTATGGGGTAAGTAATTTTCTCTATAGTTCTCTTAAGGGTCACAGGAGGTTATATACTAACCTCCTCTCGTGACCCAAAGCTCAGTATATCGCGAGCCACAGCTTGCGGTATACTGAGACCCCCGCAGCCGGGATTGATCCCGACAATGCTGTTGAGATCCACCCAGCTGCGTGAATTACAGCTGGCTCTGCCTATCTAGAGGCAGAACCAGATGTGCCCTCACCCATGAGGATGAGTGATTTTATCTGACCTCATAATTCTCCTTAAAGTTATAAAAATGTTTTTTAGAAAACATGATTTGTTTTACTGAGTAAATTTTGATTGTACAAATAATAATGATAAGCAGGCAAACAAGATTACTTAGAATATTGTAATTCTGCACTGCTATTTTGTTTGTCCAAGTATAATAAATGCCCTGTGTACAGATTGTTCTGCCCAGCTAGATAATTATTGCAGAAAAGGCACACCTTTTGCTTTACAAAGCCTGGCACCTATGGGTACTCTGCAATCAATGTTGTACTTCTTTTACTTGACATTTTTTACTTTTACATCTTTATCGTGTTTGTTTAGTGTGTTGGCATATCATCAGTGGACAAAACAATGTCAACTTGGCCAAACTATATTTTGTACAAAGCGTGCAAAGCATAGTAGAAGTAGAGGGTGGTACCAGGATCTCACACAGTCATCAAGGATCAATGTTTAGATTACTAGGATACAGCTGTGTGCAATCGAAGGAGGATGGAGGAAGTACGTTGTAGAAGGAATGTATATATTGTCATGTTGGGGAGCCCACAGAGCACTCGCACAGAGGGTGTTTGAATAAAACAAAAGCTTTTTATTGTCCTCTTCAGGGCAGTCAAAATGGTAAACACAAATGCAAGCTTATCTTCATCATAACTCAAGGCAAAAGTCGTGTGTGCGCTGGGTGCCGCACACAAGTGGGGGCGGGGAGGGACGTTTTAAGACGCCCACCCACATCTACAAGGCTCCTGTCCAGCTGTTTAGATACGGCCAATGAATGGGAGGTGGTTAAAGTGTATTCCCACTTTTGCAAAATGAAATAATACCCACTTTGTATTTGTTATATATTCATATTCACATAGCACAAAATCCTAGCTATGTCTGTACTGGGCTGGCAGATTTCATCTTAATGACAAGATGCTCAGTCTGTCCCTTAGTTTGTCCCCCTATTTCCACTTTCAAAACTGCTCAGAGTAGCCTAGAATCTGCACAAAGGCCTTCACCAAAATATTTAAAAGGTAAGAAATATATATTTTTTAAATTATATGTGAATATAAACACAACAAACAAAAATATAGTGGTATTGTCTCAAATTTGTCTGCAAAACTGTAAATGCACTTTAAGACCTGTAGAATGCACTCATCACAGCGTACCTGTACATTGCATATCTGTGAGCTTACAAAAGAACAATTCAAAAACTCCTATGATGGTTAGCTTAGCTAGATACAGAAAATTGAACTGCTATATCATGTTTGCTGGTGTTGCAATGCCAGTACTGTGATTTCACATTTGATCATTTAATTCATCTTCTGTTTTGCACTAACTATTTCTCCTATTTCAGTGCGTTGTCACTGCTGAATAAAGCTATGTATTACTTAAAATTTTCTGTCTCACCTTGTCAGAATTTGAGGTTGTCACCACATTCAGGCAGGAGCTGTACCCACATTCTAATCAAAGGCAACACCTACGGCTGTGGCACATTAGCATAATGGTTTGCATCAGCCCTCATGATTATCAGTGGTGACAAATCACTAAGCTGCTGGTTTGTCCTCAGTAGGAACAATTATTTACTGTATGTTCTAAGAAAATAGATAAAGCTGCAGAATCAGTCTTACATCTGTAAAATAAGCAGATATCAGCACAGTTACCTGTAAAAATTAAGGATAACTAAGTTTCTAAATTTAGGATGCTTACAGGACAGGCACTGATTGTTCAAGTATATCATTGCAGGAGTAAAAAGTTGTGGAAACACCCTTTTCCAATTAACATAATCCAATCACTTTGGTGTCATGTAGAAGCATTTTTTTGTTTTTTGAGTTACATGGCTGAAGGTGTGACTTGTCACATTAATAGGGTAACAATGTTAAAATGACATATGTTGGTGACAGGTGGTGTCAAAGCTCCTCACCCTTGCTTGGGGATGGTTGTACGACTTTTACAAAGATCTTTCATGCTCTTTGTGAACCACACAGTTGTAGAACAGTTGTTTGGTTTCTCCAATGTATTTGTATTTCTTAATAAGTTAGACTGCATATACTAGATTAGTTTACTGGGATGTTGGGTAGTTCGGATAGACAAAGAATCCCCTGAGTTTTTCCGACACTCCATGACTATATTGAAATAATAGGGGCTGCGCTAATATGACACCTAAATGAACACAGACTTATATGTAATGTGTAAATATATAAACCATAAGCTGCTGAGTGACCTTAAAAGCGGGTAGTGAATGTATTCTCAAATCACACTCTAAACCAATAGATATATGTGATAATAACACTAAAAGTGATAAATGGTGCGAAATAAAAAAAATGAACAAGCAAATGTCCACAATGTGCTTACAAACACCTTTTGTGGGGAAAAACAGTATTTTAAATTAAATCCCAGTCTTTATATAATCTTGAGAACTTTCCTCAGCACTCCATTAGTGCTAGTGAATCCCAACTTGCCCCTTTAGATATGGCACTCACCGGAAACCAATGTGACCTAGTATAAGTATACTTTGGTCGTAGCAAGCAATCCACATTGATGTTATCTCTCAGATGGCTTCTTACCACACAGACAGGATGAATGACATCAGTGTTGAAACGGTGATTCTTTCATAGACAGGACAGTAGAAAGGACATCATAGCGTAAAACCAGTTATTAAACAAATCATTTAACACATAGACAGTATTTCCTCATAAGAGAAGTGGGTATGTTGCGCTTGGTAAGTGAATCTATTTGGTTTTACTGTGAATAGTGAAAATAGTCACAGTATGGTTCCGTGGTGATTAGTCCAATGTGAAAAATTATTCTGCAAATATGTGAAGTGAATATAAAGTGCAGGATAAGGTGAGTGATGTCTGTGAAATAATAAAAAAAATAATAAAAAAAAGTG